GTTGGAGCTGCCCAGGTTGAAAGCTGGGGATTCTGGGCGATACACCTGCCTGGCAGAGAATAACCTGGGCTCCCAGCAACGCAGCCTAGAGCTCTCTGTGCAGTGTGAGTGGGACCTGCAGGGCCTCCCCTCCTGAGGGGAGGATGGAGGGGGGAGGGGCAGGGTCAAGTTAGTGCTCCAGAGCTCTGAGGGGTCAGGAGCCATAATCTAGAAGACCAGGCCTTCTTAGCTGGTGTTGAGACTCAGCAGCTGTCTGAGCCTCAGTGGGTGACTCAGCCCCCTCTCATGCTTTCCACCCCCACCTCTTTCTCCTGGGACCTTCCCTTTGCCCAGAGGGAAGCCCCTGGCCTGTCCTGAGCTGGTGCCCTGTGTCCATGCAGATCCTCCGGAGAACCTGACGGTGATAGTTTTCCAAGCAAACAGGACAGGTACGAAGCAGGGATGTATGAGTCCGGCCTCTTGGATCCAAACGGTGGGCCCAGTGTCTGGAGGGGGCCCAGGCAGGAGGGTCCCTGTGCTCTCAGCTGGGTATCAATTCTGCCTCTTTCCTTCCCTAGTCCTGGAAATCCTCAGGAATGACACATCCCTCCCAGTCCTGGAGGGCCAGAGCCTGCGCCTGGTCTGTGTCACCCTCAGCAACCCCCCAGCCAGGCTGAACTGGGCCTGGAAGAGCCGGATCCTGAGCCTGTCCCAGTTCTCAGACCCAGGGGTCCTAGAGTTGCCTCGGGTACAAATGGAGCATGAAGGAGAATTCACCTGCCACGCTCAGCACCCCCTGGGCTCCCAGCACTTCTCTCTGAGCCTCTCTGTACACAGTGAGTTTGGGAGCACCTGGGGCTGGAACCCCAACGTTAGAAAGAGGGGAGGTGCCCCTGCTGAGCCCTGTCCTTTCTCTGCAGACCCCCCACAACTGCTGGGCCCCTCCTGCTCCTGGGAGGGCCAGGGGCTGTGCTGTAGCTGCTGCTCCCACGCCCATCTGGCCCCCTCTCTGTGCCGGTGGCTCAGGAAGGGGCTGCAGGAGGGGCCTAACCTATGTCACTCTCAGCAGTCCCCCAGCCAGGCTTAGCTGGGCCTGGGGAAGCCAGACACTGAGCCTGCCCCAGCCTTCAGACCCTGGGGTCCTGGAGCTGCCTATAGTACTAATGGAGCAGAAGGAGAATTTGCCTGCCACGTACCACACCCTCTGGGCTCCCAGTGCATGTCTCTGAGCCTGTCTGTGCACTGTAGAGGGATGAGGACACTTGGTTCTAGGAAGGGGCCAAGCTAAGTCAAGTCCTCCCTCTGTAGTCACTCACAGGTGCTGGGCTCCTCCTGTCCTGGGAGGCTGAGAGGCTGCGCAACAGCTGCTGCTCCCGAGCCCAGCTGGCCCCCTCCCTATGCTGGCAGCTCAGTGAGGGACTGCGGGAGAGGACTAGCAGCAAGGGTTACCTGCAGCTCAGCCACGTCCTGGGCCAACAGTTCCCTGAGCCTCAGTGTCGGGCTGGGCCCCAGCTTCAGGCTCAGCTGTGTGGCCTGGAGTGCCCAGGGGGCCTGGAACCCTGTGTTTACTGCTAGACAATCAGGGAATGGGGTGGGGGAGGCCTGGACTCATGTGGTCACATGTCCAGGGACACAGGAAGGGTCTGGAGAACCCATATCTAAGTCCTGTTGGGACAGGTAGGACATAGGATTTTGGTTTTACAGGCAAATCAGCCTCATCCCACTTTTTCATGGGGAAATTGAAGCCCGGAGCTGAGGTAGCTCTGGTGGCCATGGGGGAATCTGCTGTGAAGATCCTGCTTCTCTGCCTCTGTCTCATCCTCCTCAGGTGAGCATGGCCCCTGGGACCAAAGGGAGGGGTGGGACGGCAGGGGACATGATGCTGAATCCCATGTCCCCATGCTGCAAGGACCAGAAAAGGGCAAGAGGACCTGGGCCAGGCAGGAGGTAAGCTGGTGGGGGAGAATCCCACATGGGCCATTGTTCTCTGTCCCCAACTCTGGCTGAGTGTCCAGGGTGGGGAGGTTCCTGACCTTCTCAAGGAGGCCTTGGGGACTACCCGGGGGCTAGACCTGCTCCCTTCTACTCAGTCCCCTGCTGCCCCTCCCAGGGCACAGGGAGTTGAGGCTGATGCCCTCTGCATCGCTACCTGGCCCGACTGACAAGCCCTGGTCTGTTCCCTCAGAGTGAGGTCCCACAGGAGGCAGGTGGCTCAGGCAGCACTGGGTGTGGAGGATGCAGACACTGTCATACCCTAATCCCTCAGGTGAGTGATGTGGGTGTCTCACCCTCCAACATCCCACCTGATACCTCTCTAGTGATGGCCTCCAGGGTTGCTCCACTCAGTATGACCAAGGTTGAGCTACCTGTCTCCTCCCTAAGCAGCCCCCTTGTCCTGCTGGGAACCCCATCCCGCTGATACTCAGTGGCTAAGTCTTCATAGGTAGAACTGGGGTGAGGCTTTTTTCTTGATCCCCTCCCTCCACCACAGCCCATGAATCACTCATTCCTGTCCTCTCCTTTCCTAAGTATGGCTCAACTCCATGCCCTTTTCTCCACCCTGACCCTGCTCATTCCTGCCACCTCACCTGTCCCCTCCTGCCTCTCTCTTCCAGATGCTTCCTCCTCTGGTTCCTACATGGTGTGAATGGCCACATTTCCCTCCATTGTTGGGGAAGGAGGTGCCAACCCCACAGGCTGGACAGGAGGCTTGGCAGGGTCTCTCCCCTGGTGGACTCTGCTTGTGGGTTATACAGAAATGACACAAACAAACAAACAAACAAACAAACGCCATAAACATTAGAAAAGATTCTCAACATCATTGTCATTAAGTCTCTAAGAAAATACAAATCAAGACTGTGAGATACAACTTCACATTCATTTGGAGAGTCCTTTTTTTTTTTTTAGAGACAGGGTTTCATTTTGTCGCCCTGGGTAGAGTGCCGTGGAGTTACAGCTCGCAGCAACCTCCAACTCCTGGGCTTAGGCGATTCTCTTGCCTCCGCCTCCCTAATAGCTGAGACTACAGGCGCCTGCCACAACACTCAGCTATTTTTTTGTTGCAGTTTGGCCGAGGCCTGGTTTGAACCCGCTACCTTTGGTATATGGCACTGGCGCCCTACTCACTGAGCCACAGGCGCTGCTGTCATTTGGAGAGTTCTTAAAAGCAAATCAAAACCAAACAAGAACAAAACAGGAATGCTGGCTGGGCATGGTGGCTCAAACCTGTAATCCTAGCACTCTGGGAGGCTGAGGCAGGGGGGATTGCTTGAGGTCAGGAGTTTGAGACCAGCCTG